GCAGTCGAACTTTGACCGTGTCGAAAGGGTATTCGATGTACTTGCCAACGGCACCGGCAACCTGTTTCAGTTAGTACAGTCATGTTTGCTTTGAGTAATAGCACACACCGATCCGCAAAGTACGTCTTCGAGTGCTTCTGTAAGAGCCGTCTTGGCCTTTAGAGGAAGTTCAGGCGCATGAGCTGCCTCAACAGAAATAGGACTCGGCTCCATCGTAGGTAGGCCGTTGATGAATATAACCAGGATGATATGTGCGAGAAAGTAGGAGGTATCGGAATGCGGATTATCGGCGGTGGGACGTTCTGAATAGCAGTCTCGTAGCTACTGTCTTGGTCGAATGGTGTGGAGTTGTAAGACGGACCCAAAGAAATATATAGACTGCTTCAGGTACACAACAAGCAGAGCCTTGCTGCTAGAAGGAAGAGCGCAAGGTAGGCTTAAAAGCGAATTGAACAATGAAAGAGGGAAGAATATCCAACTCGCAGGATGGATTATGTTTATCAACTGCAACTCTGAGTCATTTGTCGAAGAAGCAACCACAACGATCGATGTCTTGACGAGGAAAAAAAAGAGACCAAAAAAACAGAGTGAGGGGAACAAATTACCTCGCAGCTACAGGGCGAGTTATTCTATCAGATCAAGCTGCTTCTCACTCACTGCCTGTACGAGTTATTAGTGGCCAATGCCTGCAACATAAATTGTCGCCCTGTGCTGCGAGCCTGATAGATCAAGCGTTATGCTACTACAGGTACTGGTGTTGCTCGTTTTGGGCATCTATCCATTCATCCCCGTCCCATGGAGAAAAATTCTTAACAGTGTAGCATGTGACATCAGACATTCCGCTTTTCGCACCTATTTGACCCAATCAGACTTGTTTTCTTCTTATCAGATCGACCGTGCACAGCTTGAAGCCGTAAAGCTTCAGGGATTTCGTTACATTCGGTTTTATAGGACTGGGGCTTTGAAAGGCTCTTCATGTGGTCCCTGACCATGAAAGATTCCGTCCGTACCCTCCATTGTCCTATGAGGAGTTGCAAAGCCCTGTAACGCGGAACACAATTGGCTTTTTGCTGCAGTTTTCCAACTAGCGTCCTGCAGCTTGATCGAACTGATTGATAAGATATCCACTCCGGTCACGGCTTGTGGTTGTACCATGAACCTCAAAAGACCTAAACATGGGATGAGACAGTCGGGATGTGGGTATGTCGAATTCTAAAATTTTCAATTCAGAAAGTGAGCGATTTCTTTGTCGTTATTTCTGGTATTGTGTGACTTTGACGATGGGCTGTAAGCTCAACAACGCACACCAAGACGGCTATTTCACATCCCGCTCTTCTTAATCATTGTTACAGTAACTTAGAAGAATCTTGGACATTGACTGTGTTCTCCAATGAACCCCAGAAGCCGTTTTCTATTAGCACATGCTGGTCGAGTCCCCTGGTAACTATTGAGTTCCCCTTCCGTCTATAATATATTTTCCATGCTATTATACTTGGAGCTGTCACTCCACGTGTAATTTTATTGTCAAGCTTTGTTAATGACTTGGCATGCCTAAACAATGTGTTCACTCTCACTAACAGTGTATTATACATACCAATGCCCCGCGAACATTTTAGTACCATCTCCAGGGTCTGAGACGACAGATGGCGGGGCTAGTTAGAGGGGAAATCGCGGTGAGACGCGACAAGACGCGACTAGTAGTTTAATTGATTGCATTGTGCCTGGCAACCACCTGCATCTCTACTATTCGACATCCTAAATCACTACCGCCAAACATCTTTATACTCACCGATCGATATTTTTGCTGCCAAAATGACCATTTCGCAGAACACCGCAGACCCCAGCCTCTCCAACGGCTCAAAATCTGTTAACCATGAAGAGAACCAGTACCTTGACCTCGTCCGAGAAATTCTCGAGAGTGGCGAGCGTCGACCAGATCGGTAAGAGACCATAGATGCAACCATATCTGACTATGTTTCTAACAAATTTTGTAGCACCGGCACTGGAACATACTCGATCTTCGCTCCTCGACCTCTAAAATTCTCCCTCAACAACAACGGAACCCCCATTCTACCCCTCCTTACCACGAAGCGTGTCTTCACCCGCGCCGTCATTGCTGAGCTCCTCTGGTTTATTGAGGGCAACACCTCTTCCAAAAGTCTCAGCGAGGCTGGTATCAAGATCTGGGATGGCAATGGCTCGCGTGAGTTCCTCGACAACCTTGGTCTTCAACACCGCGAGGTTGGCGACCTGGGTCCCGTCTACGGCTTCCAATGGCGACACTTTGGCGCCGAATACGTTGATGCCAAGACGGATTACACTGGTCAGGGCGTAGACCAGCTTGCAGAGATCATTCACAAGTTACGAACCAATCCCTATGACCGCCGTCTAGTTCTTTCAGCCTGGAACCCTGCCGACATGAAGAAGATGGTTCTGCCACCTTGTCACATGTTTGCCCAATTCTATGTATCTTATCCTAGAAGCAAGGACGAGAACTCAGAAGAGAAGCCTCAAGGACATCTACACTGTCAGCTCTACCAACGATCCTGCGATATGGGTCTCGGCGTCCCCTTCAACATTGCCAGCTACGCGCTGCTAACACACATGATGGCGCACGTCTGTGAGCTGGTCCCTGGAAGCTTAACCCATGTCATGGGTGATGCTCATGTGTACCTCGATCACGTTGATGCCCTCAAGGTTCAACTTGAACGCGAGCCGCGAAACTTCCCCGAGTTGGAAATTGCCCAAGAAAAGGGCGGAAGCATTGATGGATGGAAAGCAGAGGATTTCACAGTCAAGGGATATGACCCCCATAAAACAATTGCTATGAAGATGTCTGTATGAGCTATGTATGAGGTGAATTATTTGGAAGGCGGGATTATATTATGGCAAAGAATAGATGGCGTTGGAATAGAATTTTGCTAAACAAGAGACCCCTGTTGGAATTTACATGCGCATCCATTATTTGTCCAATGTCTTGTTGCGCCACATACATTTGTCTTTAAGCCGTCGAAAGTGTTTTTTAGACTGTCACAATCGAGACTTGGCAGTTTTTTGCATGCCAAATCATGGTGCAATGATATTAGACTAACAGGATCGCCCCAAGAAACAGCATATATACGCTTTCCAAATATGTAGGACATCGATTGATAACCTATAAACTACTAGGTATACAGTGACTTATACATGCCAAGTACAAGAGAGCCGTTCAAGCACTGACCCGACTCCATGCAACCCGATCTGGCTGTGCCTCGCAACTATGGAGAAGCATTTACTGCTTCTTCTTGTTGGAAGCCTTGGAAGGGGAACCCTCCTTCTTCTCGGCAGCCTCCTTGGCCTCCATAGCAGCAACATCATCGGCCTCCTTCTTCTCAGCGTACCACTCGCCAGCTTGAAGAACGAGAATGCCGACAAGAACAAGAGCGAGAATGGTGTTGCTAGCGGAAAGAACCTTCAAGCTGTCCTCGCGACCAAGAATAAGCTCGCCACTCTCACCGTCGTGGGTCTTGCCGTCGAATCCATCGTTAGTCCAGATTTCGGCGCTAACGCTTCGGAGAGCCTTGACAATGTTGGCAACGTAGACACCGAAGCCGATAAGGTAGAGGATGAGAGATGCGCCATCAAAGAGGAAGTTGGCCTCGCTCGGGCGGAAGAGCTTGATGAAGAAGCCGATAAAACCGATGGAAATGACAATGTGGAGAATGCGGCTGATGAGTGCGGGGGACTGGTGCACGAACTTCAGATGCGTCTCGAGATGGTCGAAGAAGTTGTCGGGCACAGGGGCCTTGGTCCAGAGGAGAGGGAAGTCGTAAGGAAACGACGCGAAAAGGATACCCAGGAAGAAGCACACAGCTGTGGTATTGTTAGTACTGAGAAACGATTGATCGCAATGGATCTACTCACGGGCAATAATCATGAACGTTGCAAAAGAACCAGATCCATGGTAGTTCTTCGACTTGGTAGTCTTGGAGTAGTCGATGAAGCCGCTCATGGTGATAATGCTTATTTATGGAGGGGCTATAAAAGCGCGAAAGATATTGTGCAAGTGAGGAGTAATAGGGAACGTGTTGAGTGCAAGGATGACGATGCGCAGGTGCTTAAACAAGTGAAATAGTCACTGTCGCAATGCGCTCAATATCACGCTTGCCAATTGGTGTTTGCGGAGTTGTGCGGAGGCGGAGGAGAAGAAGAAAGTAGAGAAGAGGAGGTTGTTGGTTCTGTAGTGGGACGAAAACTAAGGGTAGCTTCAGGTTAGTCTGACATTATCTTAGAAGAGCTGGAGCGGGCACTGATAGGTGTAGGTACCTTCCAAATTGGTGGTAGACTGGGGTTTTCGTGGAGTACCTACTTGTCCTTATCTACCAGCTTTAAACAAATATGGGGATTTTGAGTGGTTGCTGTGCTTATTTGACTCCACCAGCCATGGTCTAGATGTCAGTCACTCCAGTTCTAGAAGCTCCCTTTATTAGTAGTATTGAAGAATAAAGGGTTACTTGAGATTAAAGAGGTTTTATGGTTGGAGCCAATTCAATCCTTAGCTCCGCAGAGATTGACCATAAGGAAGGAGCACGTCTATAGTCGATAGAATCTACCTAGCCTAGGTACTAAGGTACAGTATCATATTGGAACTTATATCGCCCAAAACATGTTGGTTTGTAGAAGCAGCTTTATTAAGAACGAACGCCTTGGTAAGCTAAAAATGGCTTATAACAAAAATATTTCAAGTAGACTATTACGTCGCCAAATGCGTCGTTCGCCTCTTCTGCACATTCCAGTTGCGGGATTCTAAAGAAATAATGCGCCGCCACTACACTATGAGCGCAAAGCCTTCAGCGTCATACTATACAGATAAATAGAAAATATACGGCGAGTGCGACAAAGGAAACCTGAATCCTCTCTTATTATACTGTAAACCGTCCCTGTAACCTTTGTTGTGCCTATACTTCCCAGCTTAACCAACCACTTAGACAGGTACAAAGCAGAAAGTTCGACTTCTCAAAATGATGGGAACTCTTTACATTACTGCAATATTATTGTCTATCGTCTCGTCAGTTACATCGCAAGACTCCTCCAGCACTAACACGCCGCAACCAAGAATCTATCGAGGATCGGGCGACTATAAATACTATGGCTGCTACAACGAGACGACGCAGATTCAAGACTCCGCCGAAGATCGCGCTCTTGCCGATGGCACCCACCTCGTCAAAGCCGGAAAGATGACAGTACCCGTGTGCCTCGAATTTTGTACTTCAAACGGAACACAATACAAATATGCCGGTCTGGAGTGGTCACGGTATGTACTGAATCATAAACTTAAGGCTGGGTTTGACTTACAAACTGGGTTGTTAGGGAATGCTGGTGTTCTCCATACTTGTCAAGTCTTTCAGCAAAACTCAGCGATGATGATTGCGAGAACCCATGCGAGGGCAACTCATCTCAAGTTTGTGGAGGACCACTCAGGCTGAGTGTCTATCAACTCTCCGAGGGAGATGCCTCAAATCGAGGAGTTATGCTTTCGGTACCAGGAGCCATATTTGGTCTCTCCATCATGGCATTATCCATGTTGCCATTGTGATGTGAGAGGCCTTGTCTGGATGCAGAATAGAAATAGTGTCAAATGGGTATATAGTCATAATCTGCTGTCGTAACATCCTGTACATAGCCAACAAGTATTCAGAACTTCAAAGGGGCCATGCCTCGCTGCTTCACAGTCTGTTGCACAATCACCTTGATGCCCTCAACTGATCGTCTCCAAACCTCCTGCCCTCGCCCCTTCCTACCATCTTGTTCGACCAACACATCCAACCACTTGACCAGTTTGGTCGCCTTTTCCAAGTCACGCTCTTCCTGAACCACCCGTTCGAGAAACTTTTCCAATACTTCTATGTCCCTACGGTGAGGGCCGTTTTTCCTCGTCTCTGTATGCCAAGCATCTAGCATGTCTTTGATTTCCTGTGTCGCGGTCACTCCTGAACTTGCAAACGATATCTTGCGTGGCAATGGTGCGAATTGAATCCTAAGTTGACCCCCTGGCAATGCCGCGTCTGTATCAGTGGAGTTGTGCTTGCGCAAAGGAGCTTCCAGCCTTGCCTGCTGGGCTTTTTTCCGCCTCTTGTGGTCTTCAACAACTTCCTTTCGCACATCTTCGGGAAGCTCTGCGAGAAACTCCGAGTCAAGTTCTTCAACAACGTCCTCTTCCTGAAAGGCGTCGCCGACCTGGTTCAAAGATCGAAAGTTTGTCTGGAGTAGACCAGCCTGGGCATCTCTCTGCCTCTGGGCTTTGCCAAACAAACCTCGCGGTCTGCCTCGTTTTGAAGGCGTGGCGGGCTTTCTGGGCTGTATCGTGCGATCCTTGCGCGGAGATTGGTAAGGTGTAGATTGTTTGGGTTCTCGCCCATACGTAGCCATAATCTCAGCCTTCATTTCGTCAGGCAATGCATTGAATACCTCGGGATCTACCTGAGTCGGACATACATCAAATGGCATGGGACTCCCGGATCTGGATTTGGGTATTGGAGATTCAGCCTCCTGTGACATCCGCGATTTCTGAGCCATAAGCTTGCTGCGAATGCTGCTGGGTAATTCTGCTAGGATGGTGGGATCCACATCTTTCGGAATAATGAATTGGGTCCCGGATATGTTAAGAGGCGTTTTCGCCTTCACATCATCTTCACTAGCCTTTGTCAATGCCATGGCAGGGTGCATCTTCTGCTTTCGTGGTGTTAAGGGATCGTCGGCGATTGGATCCTCGGAAACCCGACGGCCTGTTGTTGCTTTCTGTTTCTCGGGACTCTCAATCTCATCGATTTGCTCTGCGGTGGAATTTTTCCTGGCTGGCATCGGTTTTGTAAAGACGCTGAATGTCAATTTCTTCTGACTTCCATCAGGAGCTGCCAAGTTGGTCTTGATGGGTTCGAGCTTTGTCATTTGTACTCCTAGTCCTCGTAGATCACCAGGGCTAAACTTGAAGGACCGTAAAATATTGACGGCTTCTTTACCGATGACCTGTTGGTCATTTGTAGACACCCCGAAAGTGGTGCTTTTGTTGAATGTGTCGCATTTACCATGACCCAGGGATTTTGCCGGATCCAGGGGTGCGTCCATCGACCTCCTCATAATTTTCATGGTGAACTGTTTCCCCCTGACGTTCTCATTCAGGAGTCGTTTTTCCAGTTCCTTGCAAAGGTTGTAAACAAATTCTTCTGCTTCTGGTTGATTGATGAACCGAATACCCCAATTGACTTCTGCAGATACAGACTTGCGTGGCGGCTGCTCACCAACTTCTGTACGATCAATACCAAGAGCATATTCTCGGAGCCTCTCACCGGTCTTGGGTCCAAGGATTGAAACAAGGCGCTCTTTTGACACTTCTCGTAAGTCTTTGACTAGCACGACACCAATGTCCTTGAGCTTTCCGCCAATACTCCTGGCAACACCAGGAAGCTGATCAACCTTGAGGACGCCGATCATACCCAGCACATCGCCTGGTTCTAATTGATATTGGCCTGCAGGCTTGGCTTTCCGTAGCGCCACTTTGGCTTGTAAAATGTTTGCGCCAATTCCAACAGAAACATGACAGTCTGTGAGAGACTTGATTTTCTCACGGAGGTCTTTTGCAATCTTATTTGCCATGTCCCTCTCCTGAGCAACGGTTTCTGGATCAGGCCTCATGTCCTGGGACCCAGTGGATTTCATAACAGTTGATGTTATGTCAATGAGAGCCTCGTCTATGCTGACGCTTTGAACGACGCCACCAACGTCTAGGATTGATTCATAGAACAGGCGACTGGCTTCTTCATATGCAGGAAAGTCGTAAGGAAGCACCTTTAAATCTGGGCATAACTCGAGGGCTGATTTCATCCACATGCCGTTTTTTACTCCAAACTCTCGAGCAGGATAGTTGCAACTTGCAATTTCTGATCCAGACCCTGTGCTGTGCGCGACAACTGCCGGCTTGTTAATGAACTCGGGTTTCTTCTTTAACGAAATTGCGCAAAAAAAGCTGTCAAAATCGACATGCATAATGTATCGTCGCGGGTTTGGACGCTTCTTGGTGTTAAGAGTCGATTGTCCCTTTTCTACAGCTAATCTTTGCATTCTTGATTTCAGCTCGGCTTTCCATGTAGAGAGATGATGCAGTCGACTCTCAGAATAGAACTGCTTTAGAAAGTCGGGATTAGCTGTCGAGGACTTTCTGATTCGTGGATCAGATAACAGTTGTGCATTGTGCTCTTCGGACGTCATCGGTTTTGAAGGCTCCTGTGCCTTGGTCTGGAGCGTGGGTGTAGATGCTGCTTTTGCCTTAGACTCGGTATTATCGTTATCGTCCTTGTTCATTTCTGATTGACATGGGGTTGAGATTGATCCATCAAGGACAGGAGATCTGGGACGTGCCTCTGGCTTCTTGAAAGAGCAACTACCGACTCCTTCAATTGGTGTTGTGCGTGGTGCTCGACTCATGTCGCGAATTGGTGTTTGAGCCTTCTCAATAACCTGACTTAAAGACTGGCTAGGTAGAGCCGGCGCCTTGAATTGACCAGTATAGAAACTGTTATCGCTCTGTTCACAATATCCTTGTTTGGTACGAAGAGTTGATGGTGCCAAACCACTACTTCCATCAAACGTAAGTACTTTCTGTCTCGGACCCTCATCCAAGACGCGATAGTTTGACCACGGAAGAAGTTGTCCTGCTTGAATAGAATCCATGATCCATGCAGGTTTGACAATCCGGTACCGGTTGAAGTCGACGGACTTTTTGGGAGGCAGCGTCGAAGCAATGATATGGGTGGCCATTGTTTTGGAGTCCAAATATTGTAGAAAACCACCACCATGTTGCACTATCTCACGATGCAGACTGTGATTGTGAGCTGATATTCAGACCAAAATTGTTGAGGTGATACTTACACATGCAATGACGGTTGAGTATACCCTGTCACATGCGCGACAATGCCCTTAAATATTTGCGGTTTGTCTGACTTTGCACGCGTCTCAGCATCCAGATTTTGGAGTTTGATTCTCTTGCGCCTGAAATAGTCGTTAAAACCACCAAACTCGCTGCCCTCGTATTCATCTCCACCTTCATTTTCAAAAGTATGCGCCTCGATGCGCTTTCTCACTTGAGAAGAGTTTTTGTCCAGAACACTCCCCATTTTGCTTCTTTCTCTTTGATGATCGTGTTGTGTTGTTCCGTTGGTAAAGTTCACAATAATTAGTGGCGAGTTAATGCGCCGGTTGACGATTCCTGATCATCACTGCCCCCGCATCACATAATTGTTTCAGAGTAAAATAATATATGATATATGTTGGAGATCATAATTATCATACAGAATCCAATATGCGCGTACGCTTCTGCGTTGCTTGCGAGGTTCTCACAAGATGCAACGAACTGAGGCGTTAGTTAGTGATGCCAAAAGCGCGTAGAGTGGAGCACTAAAGCGCGTTTTGACACGATAGCTCGTGACATGTCTGCACAGCCACATGCATGATGAGCCACAAGGTAGTATTCGTGACCTTATGTCGAGGTCTGAATTCAACATACCAAATCCTAACTTATTACAACATCAACCCAGGCTTTTGTTTGCTCAGTGCTCCTTTATACGGGCAATTCCTTTCAAGATGAACAATGATCAGTTTCGCAAACTTATAGCTGCAAACTCACAAAAAAGCTCCGCTAAAGATGGCGCATCCGCATCATCCTCCCCAGTTAGTGGAAATGCGCTTGGTTCAAGACAAAGGTCAAGCATCCCAATGACACCGTAAGTTATTGCTAGATACTTTCTGAAAATGCGCTAACACAATGCAATAGACGCGCCGTAGCTGGTGCTCAAGCGGACTTTGCGCGACAACTTGCTGAGCGCAACAATGCGATTCGACCCCAGAGGAAATTTAAGTCTTATGATCCCAAGGGTGTCAAACTTGCGTCAGGCTATACCGATCGATCGAAGGAACGCGACGAAGATACAGACGATGAACGAGTAGAAAGACTCAAAGAACTCGAAAAGCAACTGAAAGATGAGGAGATCGACCAGGAGACATTCGAAAAGCGACGATTTGAAATTGCAGGTGGAGATCTAAGCAGCACACATCTAGTCAAAGGTCTTGATTTTAAGCTTTTAAGAAGAATTCGAGATGGAGAGGATATCTACGAGAAGAAGAAAGACGAGCCTGAGAAGGAGGCTGAACCTGAACCGGAAATCGACATTGACAATGAGCTTGAACAACTAGAAGGAAAGGAAGTCGAGGTAACTGCTAAAGAAAAAGCCGAGACGAAGAAAAAAGGTAAACTGTCAACGGTATCTCTAGCACCTGGGAAAAAGCGAACACGCGACCAAATATTGGCAGAATTAAAGGCAGCACGAGAAGCGGCCAAAGCACAACAGGCAAACGCACTTGGTGATCGGTTCAAGAAGGTCGGAATCAAGCAAAAGGCCGGTTCACGAATAGAGCGCGACCACAAAGGACGAGAAGTTTTAATCATCGTGGACGAAGATGGACACGAGAAGAGGAAGGTTCGCAAAGTCCAGCCTGGTGCTGACGAAGACGAGAGCGACCAGAATGGTCTTTTGATGCCAGACAAGGATGCAAAGCCTCTTGGCATGGAAGTTCCGGAGCAGTACAAGAAAATGGAAGAGGAGCCCGAAGAAGATGAAGACATGGACATCTTTGACGGTGTAGGTGATGATTACGATCCCTTAGCTGGCATGGGTGGTTCAGACTCGGATTCCGATGAGGAGGATGATTCCAAGAAAGCGAAACAACAGAAAACCGACGAAGAGCCTACTGCAGATACTTCGATGCCACCACCACCGAGACCACAAGCACCTCGAAACTACTTCGAAGGTGCCAAGACGGGTCTTGTGTCAGAAGAAGAACGGAACAAGGCGCCATCTATGTCTGATCCTGCAATCATGGCAGCGTTCAAGCGTGCGGCGGCTCTCAACCCGATCAAGATAGAGAAAGGCGGCGACGACGAAGACGACGAAGAGGATGGCGAGGATGAAGAAGCACGGAACGAGGCAATGGAAGAACGGAAGAAGAGACTCATGCAAATGGCAGATCGAGATGACGAAGATCTGGATATGGGCTTTGGTACAAGTCGTCTTGCTGACGAGGAAGACTTTGACGAGAGAAGAGTCAAGCTCTCGAAGTGGGGCGGAAAAGATGACGATGATGATGAAGGACAATCAAAAGGTGGACCAAAACGAAAGCGAGGAGCAAAGAAGCGAAAGGGCGATGTTAATAATGCTGCCGATGTGTTGCGTGTGATGGAAGCGCGCAAGAAAACATAGAGACGCGGCCTCGGCTACCAGGAGTCAGGATTGCTATCATGAAATATATTCGGCATAAAGCCGACTCTACCTAGATACCCCAGGCAGTATAATTAGTCGTTTGTCATAATAAGTCCATACACGCATTTTTTGTGTGCGATTTTTGTTTTTTCTTTCTATATGAGCACAACCTCTTGCTTGAAGAGGAAGCTGCTTTGTTTAGTTTGGCTACTAGTCAAGTTACCAACTACCAACTTACTATACCTAGGCCAGTCAAACAAAATGCCTGGGACGTGTGCCCCAGATTTCAGTCAAGTTTGCTCCAAGCTAAAGAAACAGCCAGCAAAATGAGGGGAAGATACCCCACCATAACTAGAGCTTCCAGGGTCTATTAAAGAGTCCTGTAGGCTGATAAAACGTCACAACTTTAACAACTCACTTGCAATATCGGCATTTTTATCCAGTTGTGGTTGACGCTCTTACTCAATTGAGTCTACTTTTCTGTCACAAAGTCTATTGCGAAACTCTTCTGTTGCATAAACCTATAGTTTATTCATTTTTCTCAACGTCTTTCTCCTTTACCTACATAGACACCTATTATCTACCATGTCTGAGGCGCAGGTTCCTGTTTGGCTGGATTGTGATCCAGGCCATGATGTACGTATATACAGATACGGAACCGGTCGTTCCAGTGTCACACGGAAAAGGAGGTCTAGTTACGGTACAAGACTTAATATATTAGTCTTGTGTTTGGCAATTTCCTCTTAACACATACATTCCACGCTCGCGCCCGGTACTAATAATCTTACAGGACGCTTTTGCAATTCTTCTTGCAGCTTATCACCCTCAGATCAGACTGCTCGGCGTCTCGACAGTCTTTGGAAATGCATCTCTTGAGTATGTCAATTGTGCTGCAATATGAACCGTACAGTCAGTGTATTATGCGAGAACCTGTTCCTAATCTGTACATAGGAATACCACACACAATGCGGCCTCTATTCTCACCGCTATTGGAATGCATGATATTCCTTTGTATATCGGCTTAGGAAAAGCCCTTGAGCGCCCTGCCCTCCATGCACCAACAGACATCCATGGCGTTTCTGGACTGGACGGCACCGATCTTTTGCCCACACCGCTCGTCACACCTTCTACCATGCCAGCCGTCGAGGCGATGGCCACGGCTCTACGTGCTCAGCAGCCTGGCACAGCGTGGATTGTTGCGACAGGTGCGCTGACCAATGTTGGAGCTCTGTTCCGTGCGTACCCAGAACTCATCAGCCATGTCAAGGGTGTCAGTCTCATGGGTGGCTCTATTGGCGACAACTTCTCAGATGCGCCGCTAGGTGAAGTCGACGGCCGACCTAGAATCGGGAACTACACGCCTTGGGCCGAGTTCAACATTCTTGTTGACCCTGAGGCTGCTGCAACAGTCTTCCATAACAAGGAGACTGCTGCCAAGACCACGATTGTGCCGCTTGATCTCAGCCATCAGGTGCTGGCTACGCCCGAGGTGAGAGATATGCTTCTGTATGGACCCGATGCCGAGAAAACAGGCCCTGGAAAGACAACTCTCCGAACCATGCTTGTTGAGCTCCTTTACTTCTTTGCCCAAACATACGCGTAAGTCTTGGTACCTCACCACAAACGCTTTTAACTGACATTTTCAGTGATACGTTCGGCATCACCGCTGGCCCTCCCCTCCATGACCCTATCGCCGTTGCCGCCGTACTGATCGGCACGGAAAGTGAAATCCCCTTCTTTGAGTGGGACGCCAAGCACAGCCAGCACCCTCAGCACAATGAGCGCTTCGAAGTAACTGTTATTACTGAGGGCACTTTTGAGGAGGCCAAAGAGGGTAAGCAAACAGGCCGCACAATCGCCAAGTTGCTCCCACCTGGCGAACAAGGTGTTAGAATCCCACGCGGAGTCGATACTGCCAAGTTCTGGCAGGTCATTGAAGAGTGCATCGAGCGAGCAGATGCAAAGAATGCTGCGCTCGCGCTTGCACAGTGATTGGATAAACCAACAGGCTATTGTAGAGTACAACCACACAAGTAGTAGTAGACGATCTGACGACTTACTCTGTCATGATGAATCTATTAAATATTGTTACAGTCTATAACTCATTGGGGATGGTTTCCTTACTGCTTGAATCCCAGTCAAGCATCACTTTCAAGCTCTGTTCGTAAGTCCAGAGAGTAATAGCGCTCGCCGGCGCTGATTTGAGTAGGCTGATAGTCAAACCCTTATACAGGCCGCGAAAACCCTCTGTGTGTAGAATTGTTTTTAGTGCACCTCGGGCGGTGGAATATTCGGGGATGTTTTCGTAGACATATTGGCTGCGTGCTGGTCCCTGGACTTGAATGCGCTTTCGAACAAGGTCAAGAGGGAATACGGCTGTCTTGGAGATGACACTAGCACACATGCCAGCTGTAGCATCGCCACTGCCCCACGGCATGTGCAATCCTTCCAAGGTCGATCTGAGGGACTCGTATGTGACGAAAAAGATACCCATAAAGGGCATAATCTGGGCTAGGCCGGGTCCAATGCCTCTGAAGAACCCTCGCCATCCTTCATCGCGTTTAATGTCCCAGATTGCGCTACGAAGTGAGTGGTATACGCGGTGCTGCCCCTGAGCAGCGAATCGTGTTCTTAATAAGTCAAGAGGATATGTAACAGACGTAGCTGCGGCACCCGAAGCCGCACCGGCGATAAAACTTTCCGCAGCATCGGGTAATCTCGAAGGGAAAGCTGTCCGGAGGAAAACAGTCGTCGATCTGTAGGCCGTGAATTGCGCAGCACCATAGCAAACATATAGAAGCTCTGCCGGGACGTTGCCCTTCCATAAACCTGTCAAGCCTTCGTGCTTGAGGATGTGTTTTAGGGTCGCGAATGCCCCTCGATACGCTGGACCATTGCGTAGAGCTGCTACCGGGTCGGGAAGGGAGTGAGGTTGGAGCTGAAGACGGATTTTGATGACATCGAGGGGAGCGACGACGAATCTAGGTATCAGATAAAATTAATCGCGGTGCCCGTTTTGAAGGAGGACTGGGAAAAGAGTACCGTGAGACGAGCCCTGCAATTCCACCGGCAGCAACTACTTGGACTTTGGAGCCCTATTTTGATTGTGAGCCCAGAATCGCGTAAACTGAAATGTAAGTTCCTACCTCATCCTTGAGGTGCCCTTCTTTATGTGACATTCATCAAGTTTCAGTCCGGGTGGACTGCGTTCCCAGAAAACAAAAAACAACTGATTGAATTGTTTGTACCTGGCGAAGATGGTTGATATCGCTAATTTCGAAATCGTTGGGTTATAAATGCAGGGATTGGAGAATGAACAAGACGCTGGTAGAAGTTGGAGAAAAAGTTACTGATAAGCAAAAATATGATGTACCGGAAGTCAATGTGCGGAGGCGATAGTGCGATAATAGTGTGTTGTATTCTTGAAAAATAATTCTATAAGGAGTAAAATCTTGAAAATGTTGAAAGAAGCTTTGGGTGAGTTCGTCATTATTAGATATGGCCTGTATCACGATAATTGAGATCCGTGGCCACATTGGCTAGAAATCCTCGTCGCTCTCACGATGGATTCTGTGAACTTGTGTGACGGCATAATTTCTGAATATTTAGAGTTAGCCTGAGATGAGTGAGCGGGTGGAAGCGGTTGTTGGCGGATGAGATTAAAGTCCTTCTGCGTCTTTGCATATTTAATTAGCGTCGTGAAGATGGCCTGCGAGGAGTGACTCTTTAATCTGTGTAAAAGAGAAAAGAATACCTATCCCGGTATATGTATCTTTCTACCTAGAACTGAATATACATCTGGATTCCGAATCAACTTCGGGGTCTCTTGGACCGAACAGGAACTCATGGACCGAACCGATAGAAGGCTGAAAGGCGATCTCTTTTTGACAATGCCAGGGGTCTCGACCAGGGTTCATCCATTAAAAGCTAGCTCGGGCCGTTGGAACCAACCAAAAGCGTAGCATTGTCACCTGCACTTTTTGACATAGATGCAGGTGATGATAGAGTTTGCAGATCAGATGGTGAACTTGAGACATGACGAAGCAGTAGAATCATGAGTAGAGAATATAGTTTTGAAGCTCTAGTATATCCGTAAGTAGAGCAATGACATCTCAGTGATGATGATACTAAAGAGCTTCACCATACTACGTAGTAACTAAACGTGGGGTTGTTCTTCCCCACAATCACTGCTACCAGAAGCACAGCCTCCGAGAAGCCTCCTGCCTCCATTGCTCCGGCCGAGACCCTTCTCTCCGTTATTGGCTGGGCTTTCCCAGAAGGAACAGAGCTTGGAGATTCCGGGGCTTCACTATGGGGGGAAGAAGTGCATGGACTAGGGACGTCACTTGCCTCTTGAATGCATTTGTGCCGCAACGCCGATACATTCTAGGTATCCGGCCATGGAATTTTAGCTCTCATTGCCGAGCAAACAGCAAACACATGCCCTCTCGTCACATACATATATGTCTGTCGCCCCCTCTCCATTTTCATATCGCCTCTTTTGTCCGTCTACCTATATTTTGTATCTACTCTAAGATTTGCTTGTTAATAATTAATCTTGCTTTACATATTTACTGGATATCTATCTACTGTCCACTCACCTACATCTACTGGGTCCACGAGCTTACCCATTTGCACGTGAAATCCACTCTCACGATCTTCGATTTTTCGATTCTGTACGCCAGAACTGATGCTCAACAAGCCGCAATCGCAACATAGATAGATATATCGTCCAGCCCTCCCGTATACTTCACCATGGCCACCGCACAACTTCCCCCGCCAGACGCGACACAACTTCTGGCGCCATTCCTTCCTGCTCTCCCACCGTCCACCATTTCTACCGAGCCTGCTATTGGCATCCTGCCCCTCCTCTCCCCCATACTACGTCAGCGAGTCAAGCTCTTGTCACCTACCAGCTCTGAGCCATGGATTCGATTGCTGTGCTACGACAAAGAAAAAATATCAGAACTTGTACAGATTGCGCAAGGTGGCAGCTTTGAGCCACACCCCGTGTCCGGCGAGGTTGAGGTTGACTGGGAGTACGATGCTGAGACACGATTTCGAAGGGTTGACGAAGAGACTCTTCACGCTCTTGTTGCGCTTTCTACCCTTGGCCTGGCATTCCAGCTAGTATACTGTGTTGGAGATGTCGAAGGTGGTGGCGATGGCTGGAGAGTAGGCGAGGTTACCGTTATGGACAAGCCATCGCCTTTCTTGCAGTTTGGGGGCGTGTCTAGTATTGCGGAGGCTGAGCGACAGTTTGCCGAGACACAGGCCAAGAAGGTCACCAGCATCGCCAAAGATACAAACGGTCCTAGCCAGAGCTTACATGTCCCGGATGGTGGCCACGAAGACGAAGATGAAGATGATGATTACTGGGCACGATATGATGCGACGCCAGCTCGTACACCTGCACAAAAGTCGCCCGCACCTCCTTCCAAGGCCAGTTCTCATATGGGCGGCGTTCGGGCAGCTTCAGCAGAGGATGCATACTTTGCTCAATACGATAGTGTACAGCCTGCTATGGACAACCATGACCCTGATGAGGAGGAGGTTGCTGCGCAGGTTGCTCCACCACTCGGGCTTGGACGAGGTTACGATTCTGCCGAAGCTTCAGAACGCAATGAAACTCAGGGTTCATGGACTCTGGCCGAAGCTGATCACCTGGGATCAGGTTCCGCACAAAACGGAAATGATCCCGAGCGTCATGCTGCTCTACTGCATCCTCGTCCCGCTTCGAGTGCGAGCTCCAACGGCTCAGAAACGGTCGCCAAACTTGAGGCTTCTGCTGGCAAACAGACACAAAATGAATTTGGCGTGAAGCAACACGTCTCACGCAGCATTCGAAGTCTGTTTTTGCTTTCACGAGCGTCAGGTATCGATCGCCACGAGTTTGAGAACCTTGTTAGAGCTGAGCTCGATATTCTCGGCATGGTTGAGGATCAGGAACAAGTGTAATGTTGTGTTGAACACGCAATCAATGCATCTTTCTTTGGTTTATCTTTTGACCCATGGGATGAAATTGGGAAAACCTTTTGGGGTAATGCATTTTGGTAGTCTCGGCATGCATGCAAGGCGTTTGTCATTAAGCATCTGGTTAGAGGTCGGTCAAGCGACTACTTTGTTTCGAGTCTACTTAAGGAAATTAGATAGGACATGGTCATATGTACTGAACAAGGATGTAAATAGCATCTCATGAGAGAATGAAACAATACTACATTATAAATGTTTTGATGAGCAAGTCTACTAAGCGATTAAATGAGTGATGCAAGCCAACAGCCCGCTCTTGTGACATCACTGGATTAAAATACGCTTGGAACGTGACAAAACTGTAGAATGGGAGAATTTTTTACGTTGTTGTATACATCGTCACGATACTTCTATTGTGTATGTATCGCCGGGATTATGTTTCTGCCTTTGACCATCTCAAATCATTCCAAACCGCACAGTAATCAGTTTGTTATATAAATCCAGCATAGGCAGGCAGGCCTTATCCAGTATTGTCAATCCAATATCGTCATTAGCTGTATCGTTCAACTCTTATTGAAAAGTCATCTTCCACAATCATGCAATCACGAGGTTCTCCAGGGCAACACGAGCCGTCTCGAGAACCCTCGTGCAATTGCGTTCTGATGGACTGCATGGTTTCGATGGGTAGATAACTCCAGAGATCTCGCTGTGACTATGCCCAGCAGCAATGCGTGCATCTAAAGCTTCATGCCGTTGTCTGCTTCTTTCCTCCAGTTGGTCTACTACATCCTTCAGACCCAGCTGTCGGTATGGCGACGCTCCAGGCATATCATGGTCTTTCTCGTCAAGTCCGTAGACGTCGAGACGGAGAAGACCGCGGATAGTCAGCCTCCACATGTCTGGGGGCATGTTTTTGTTGTTGTAGGTTTGATAAGCCGTGCAGCCCTCGGACGTGTCACCAACGCAGCCCCATAGTCCGCCAATGTCTCTGAAGGCAAACCAGAATGTCCTTCCTTCTTTCTTGGCGAGAGCAGTTTCTTCGTCCACCATTTCGAGGATTCGTGCGTAGGCGTTACATGCTGATGGGACCAGGGCGCCCAGAAGCATGAGGTTCTGGAAGGCTTGTATGGGAGGTGGTTTGGGAGGGTCTTCGACTAAGAAGTTTGAGCACATGGAGCACTTGATGACGTCGTGAGCGACCCTCGACGCATTCCGGGCGACTTTCATGGCTGGGATCACTTCAGTTGGCAAGTTGCCTAGAGAGTCGAGGGCAAAGAATAGTGATGATAGACAACTGCAGGACACTGTCGGAACGGAACGCATCGAGCGGGTTGATGAGCTGGCTGCATTCTCAAGGGAGTCGACAGAGGTGTCATTGTCGCTAGAGTCAGGTGGTGTTGAACTGTCTGAGGCGTGGTGTGACTCTGGCTTTGGCGGTTCAATCTGGTCGACGAGATACTGATGGAGTGTGTGGCTCAGGTCCTTTGAGATAGTTTCTTGCGGAGCGTCTGTATCTCCAAAATCGATGGTGCCCAGAAGATCAACTCCAGTCAAGTTCAGCGATGGCAAAGCGTTGTTATCCGTGTAGGTGCCATCGTGGTCCAAGATTTGAGGGTCGAATGGAAGAGAGTCGTTGTATCCGGGCAACAAGTCCCAGGTATCAACGTTTGTAGTAATGGGCTCATCTAGGAAGTTCAGATTATCAAGAAAGTCTCCAGTTGGTACTGTATTCTGGAACTGCGAGTAAGATGTGTCGTCAGCGGGCTGTAGGAATAGTAAAGGCTGTTCCTGGAGTTGAGACTGAGATGATGACACAGCAGCGGCAATATCTTCTTGATCAGTGTCTACATGGCGCCTCTTTCGGGGACGACCCATTTGCTTCTGGGGCGAGTAATAGCATGTTATTCCCTCCTTTTTGCAACGGGCACATCCGTCGGGTTCTTTGGAGCAAGCGAGTTTACGGGATCCTGGGATAAAAAATGACCGATAAGTCTCCGATCCGGACGCATGACGGGACTGAGAAACAGAAAGTTACTCACGACATTCGTCACACGCTCTATGCTTGGCGACTCCGCCAACAACCGCTGGAGATGTAGCAGGCGCCATGTTTCTGTCTTGTAGACTGAATATGTTTGCTGCAAATATTACTTTCTGTTGTTCGTGTCTTGGGTATTTTTATTGATGCTCTGCACTGTGTGAGTGATGGTGTGTTTGTGAGACAGTGAGCACGTTACAATCTTGTCAGCATGAGCCTTGGCTTTCTATCATGAATCTGACTAATAATTCTAGCACAGCCTACCTAAACAACAGCGAGGAAAATTGTAATCTATTAGGCAGTTAACAGTTATATAGCACAGTAATTATTAGCTCCAAACCCAACACTCTCAGATCGACTGGCAGGTAGATCATGTCTTGGAGTTATCCACAATATGGATCAACAGCTGGCATTACCCATGTGTCCTTGTTTCTGAGGCTCTTTTCATAGGGTCTAGGTCAATGTTGTTTTAGTAGAGGGTCCCTTTTGGATTCTCCACAGCCGTATTACTACCCATCATCGCCTTGTTTGACATTTCAGCCCCCAGATCCATCCTATTCGATCCATGACCCTTTGACCGATGTTTCCTGTTTGTTTCTTGTTTTTAGACCAACGTTAGGCCTTGTAGCCTCCCTCGTTTGTAGGGTCTAGTTTTCAGTTTCTCATACTATACTATACTCTTTGGTTTTCTTATCTCAGAAAATACCTAATAATATCTTTACTGTCGGTAGATCTGGCGACGGTGTCTGTTACCATTCTATTCCCGACTCATGCCGGCAGTTGGACTTTGCGTCATGATAGAGTTGTGATCGTCAATGCAACCTTCTCAAACCAACATACCTACACACAAAACGGCTTCAACGGTAACTGGCATTTGTAGTCAGCCATGACCGTTACTTCGATACCCGATCTTGGCAATATCGCCCGCGCCGAGTACAAAGCGCTATTCGACAACGCAATCGCCAACGGCATTAAAGAGCCCCTTGTTCTTCCATTTTGCCTCCTTGGTCCTTTTCTTCTGCCTACTATTTATCTGGCGATTCCACATCGAAATCGACCATGGCTTTACCATGCACGTTGGCTAATTGTCGCTTTTGTCGCCGTCTTCGATCTCTACTTGATTTGGCACATGTCAAGCTTTAACGTTGCTCCCGCATATGCATCTGGGCTTATGGGCATTTGGGGTATCTTGGCAAACTTGAATCTTTTAGTATGGACCAATCCGCAATCCGACTATGCCAGAATCATTAGAGTGCCCAAAGACAAAGCGACAACAACAGCTTCCAATGGGAGTACCAGAAACAATGTTCTTGATACCAACGGTAATCGAGAAAATGGACTACGACAGAGAAAATCCCGTGCTGATTCCATTGCACCCTCGGGAGATATTAGAACTCGTGCCAAGCGTCAAGATCTTCAAGATACGGTTTGTGTCTGGCAAAAGTTTCCCGAGAACGGTTCTTTTGGCGAAAGACTAAACTGGACGTTGGATTTGGCCACTAACTTCCGGGAAGTCGGTATGTCAAATTGAACAAGAATTGGCTTTATTAATCTTTTGTTACTAATAGCTTACTATAGGTTGGAACTGCTCTATCTCTTCAGTTCCCAGGCCCGAGATCCCAACCAACATTCACGATGGAGACCCCGTTTCCTTCAAGGACATGCCCGTCGTGTCAAAAAGTGGCTACTATCGCAACCTGACTGAAAGGGAATTCGTATGGACACGTCTTCGCAAGGTCTTCCTCCTCACATTTGTCTTGGACCTTTGCTCTGTCTTTATGGTCAAGGATCCATACTGTACCTACGGCCCTGACCGAGATCTCCCTCCACCATTATTTCTCCAGCAGCTTCCTCCGTGGCTTCTCCAGGCATACCGCGAACTCATTTGTCTGGTGGGAATTTATGCAGCCATCGACGCCATCTTCAATCTGCACGATTTCTTCCAGTATTATGTCATGAGCTATGCATATCCCATGCGTGGAGAGCTCTGGCAGTACACCAACATATTCGGCCCTGTCTCGCAGATCCTTGATCGGGGCATTGCTGGCTGGTGGGGTGCAACCTGGCATCAGACGTTCCGACTGCAGTTCATCGCCCCTGCAAAGTTCCTTGTTGATAGGGGGTATCTGCAGAGGAGGACGTTGACTACCCAGATTGTTACCATGTATGTGTCCTTCATCCAGTCTGGCTTGCTTCATGGAGCAGGAAGTATATCCTCCATGTTTTCCACCAAACCCTGGAGGGCACCAATCTTCTTCTTCATTCAGCCTATTGGTATTATAGTCCAGCTTCTTCTACTACATATCCTGGATAAAAACTTCCCCAATACCCCTCGAGCAGCTCGGCAAGTATTCAATGCTGTGTCAACGGCGATCTGGCTGTACTTCACTGCATTCTTCTTCACTGATGACATCTCATCTGCTGGTATCTGGCTACTTGAGCCTGTGCCCATTTCTCCTCTACGATGGTTAGGTTTTGGCCATCCAGATGATCACTGGTGGCGATGGAGGAGGTATTTGTTCCCGACTTGGCATTCAGACAGGCACTGGTGGAAGAGTGGGATGCAGCTCTGAGAGTATATAGATTCACGGCACTCAGTTTCATTCGACATTGACAGTACCCGTAAGAAAGAGTAAAGGCTCAACATACAGGTGTGTATACTAGAATAGCTCTCCAAAATTCAGAAAGAATTAGACAACCCATACACATGAGTCATCAAAGTATTACTTTATAACCCGATATTTGTCCATTTCTGAGCGTATGCATGGATTCATGCTTTCGTCCAGAAGCAAGTTTGTCTGCTTTTCGGCGAAGCCACTTGACTACTGGCTGATAATTGCTTTGCTTGGCCGCGAGCACCTTCTCAAAAGCCAGGCAGGCAATACTGGTACTGTCAGTATAGTTCACAGTCATCCACAGAATGGCATCTTACAGAGCAACTTGCGTTTGTCGTATATCACAGGTATACTGGGGGTATTTCAGCATTCGAGATTTACTCGTTAGCAATTTATAAGCCACGTCTATCAACGTGGCAATGGTTCCTGGGAATGGGATCAGCAAGTGGGCGCCGTGTTCAGAGAGCTGAGGTTACTTACGAAGTATCATTTCACTACTGGGGTGCTGGTTCTTTCTCAGGCAGCGGAGATACGCCCACATCTTGCTGGCAGTCTCGACGAAAGCACCCTGGAGTGATGACAGAACGGTCCTGGTAGAATTGTGAGACGTGTCGTAGAACATCAAATGTGATTGGATCTTGAAAGCGTCTGTTACGTGAAAGAAAACAATGGTTAGCGTATCATAAGGATCGTGTTGAAGGAGCATCTTACTCAGAACTTTTCGCTGGAAATTCTGACCCGGGGTGCGGCCAAAGTCGACCGTAAGGGAGGTCGATACATCTACCTTAGCGTTAGTGATGAGAACGAACTGTATGGAATAATGAGGAGCATACCGATGTTGGCGTCTCTTTCTCTGTCCTTGGTGATATCCAGTGTCCGGCAGTTAATCGCCGTCCCACAGTAAGGAAAGCCCTTTTCATGGTTGTACTTTCGAACAGGTTCACCACCATATAGCATGTCGAAGTTGACCATGGTCTTGGCCGGGTTGACCGCAACACCGTACTCAGGAAACCCACCATGCATGGCGTTCACAAATCTGACTGTCTTATTTTGATCTAAAGTGATGAGGAGAAAATCGTCGATGAGGCGCAACAGGAGACAGTCTGGTGAATCCAGAAAACTCAAATACTTTGCTTCAAGATCGGCGTAAAAGTAGTTGCATAGGAATGAAGACAGGACGGAGCCTTGAGGAATGCCAACTTTCTGCCTGTAGTACTTCTTCCCCACCTTTACAAGATTCTGTTCGACGTGCTCTTTCAAAAGACTCATGAGCTCTCCGGCATTCTCGGTCTTGCGAAACGCACTGTCAACAAAGACAGTATTCTTCTTTTTCGGTGCCAGGTCTTCTTCGAGACGCACTGCGAAAGCCGGGTTCTCATTCTTACTCAAAGCGGAAGCGTGCCATCGCCGGGTGGCTTTGGATGAATATTTGTCGTCGTCTATCACCGCTCGTTCGCCTGGCTTGACCTCCACATGCCTCATGATGGTGTACTTGGTTTGGCTAGGCACAGATTTCATGAGCTCGACGACTGCTTCCTGTGGAATAGTATCAAAAGCAGCCTTGACATCAGCCTTGGCAAAGTACAGCTTGCCATGATCGGGACTCAGCGTTTCTTTAAAGGTCTTAAGTCGGGTGTAAATGTCGCTAACTGAGAACATGGTAGATCCCAGTTTTGAAGGATTAATTTTCTAATTTCGCGATCAGTTTGAGTTCCGAATCACAACACCTTGGGATTGCCAACATACCGTTTCCAATTTTAAGAGTGAGTGGATAGGTCCCAGAACTTTGTTGATGCTGCGACCAAGTTTCTTGGAAGGTCCCCGGGCCATAGCTCTTCGTCGCAGGTTCATGATGGGGCGTAATTTGTTACCCTTGGGCAATAGTCGAATCTGACTGGAGCCCAGCTCCCGCTTTTCCAGTATTTGGAGCGCCTCATTCATCTTAAGCTCCTCAAACATGTCTGCTTTGAGGTCTGCCATGGCAGGCTCTGTAATTCGTCTCCAAACTTCATGGCGGAAGTAGAAAACTTGATAGCGATGGGTATTAGATTCAGTAACATAAAAGTTATTGCGAATCAGGGGTATCAAAAGTGAGTCAAAAACAAAATACAGAAATTCGTGAAAAATCTCAAGACGCTTCTCGGTGTCTGTTCTGCTGGGTTTCTGGACACCAAAATTATGAGGTTGGAGCCAAGAAACCTCCGCAATCTGATATCCCGTTAGTTAGAAATCCATTGAAGTTGTTCAAAAACCGACCTTGAGGTCCTGCGTTATTTCATGTAACGACATAGTCTCAAAGCGCCTGAGCTTGATGAAGTGATGAACGTTTCGCATCACAGTTGATTTGTTGTGTTTCCCAGCATCTCCATTTCCCCAGAAACTATCTGGGATGATCTTGGATAGGACTGCTCGACAGAACGAGGAAACTTGGCATGGTGGTGTGGCCAGTTCTTCGAGAGAGTCGTGCTTCGGAGGTGATTGCGCTTGTGTGCCGGAAGTTTCTGCTTCCAGATACATCTGGGATGAAGCGCATTTATGTTTTGACCTCGAGGATGTGTGCTGCAAAGGTTTCAGCCTCCGAGATGACATGGGGATCTTCTTGACCCTTGGCTTTCGAATCCGCGAGGATTTGTCAAAGATGCATGGGCAATAATGCCTCAGCAACTCCGTATAAGAGCATCGGCTATGAAGGATTTGTAGACGCTTCACGAGTTGCTCAACGTCGCCACGGAGCCGCTTGGACATTTTCAACTTTCTTGGAGCAGTATCTCCTGGTTTAGCCTTGAAGGCAGGAGCGATCTCATCTTCTCTTGACGTATAGTCCTGGAACTTTTGAGAAGTCTTGGTGGGGTCAACTTGAGAGGTAAAAACGTTGTGTAGTCCGAATTGACGAGGAAACATGTACATCATGACATTGATTACACCCTGACGTTCAACATCCAAGTTGGCGGAGTCAGAGGGTCTGCGATGTCTATTCAATACGTCTGGCCTTGTCAATATCTTGAGTAATTACATGTCTTCACTAGACTTACGAATGTGTTTGTAGCCGGCTTGGACAAGCCCATTCGTCGACAGAGACGGCTTGGCATAGAATATTCTACTTCTCACCAAAGTTATGTCTGTTGGTTTACGCACTACACATGCCGATCCCTTGTTCAGTGATACGTTACCGCCGGGAAGATCAAGCTCTGCAAGAGGCACGCCTACAAATGTCAGACTGGCAAGGCTCGAAGCACGCAAATCTTACCTGACAGTTGGTGGTAATTATTGAAGCCAGCTTCAACGGCTATATAGATTGATGCATCGACAAGGAGTTTGATCATGATCTCCTCGCCAGCTTTGCCAAGTAGAGCTAGTAGCTGTGGCCAGGGACTTTCTTTGAGTGCTTTTACATGAGAATTAGGGTAGTGGCTGAATAGATCCGGGATATTGGTCGTCCCTTGATTGTTTGGGCCGCCTGATCTTTTGAAGCCGTCGCATAGGATGTGTTTGGGCCGTCCTCCAACGTTTGATTCTCGATGAAAGAGTAGCCATACGACGAAATCCACAATCTAAGTGCAAGTTAGTGATAGCTCACCATACAGGAATGCGGTACTAACATCATCTTGGCAAAATACAGACCCTGAAATGCCATCTGACAGACTAACATGGGATTCATCCCCCTTCTGTGTGAATTCAATCAATTGCCTCTTTCGTGTGTAATCATCCTCGACATTCTGCTGGTCGGCAAAACAAACTAGTGATGTATCGAGGAGTCGTGACAAACTTCTTTCCAGCTCTCCGACATCGTCCCTCTTACCAACAGACGCTACCTTCTTTCTTCGAAGACGAGAGCGCGGCGGCAGCTTAAGAAGGATATATTCTCTTAGCGTAGTGACTTTGTCGTAGCAACGATCCAAGAGGTCTCGTTTCACAGGCGTATCACGTAATGTTCTGACTCTTTTTCGGCCACTTGACGCGTCGGTAGCTTCTAGCTTCCGTTTTGCTTTAGGGGACATCATTTCGAAATATTAATGAGCCACTCATTTCGCGTCTTGTATGTTGAAGAAGAGCGGTTGAAGATGAACTGTCATGCGCCACGGTGTTTGTTATCAAGATGTGGCTAAGGAACTGCTGTGGCAGTTACCGCTCTAACCTAGAATGGTATAGTGGAGTAGCGTATGACCGATTCTAAGGGATGGAAAATAGTTGGTGTCCAAGCGTTCTATCCATCAAACTAAAAGACACCACAAAAAAAAAAGAAAAGGCATCTCATCCTATTCGATGGTAAACGAAGGTTTCTTCATGCAGTCGTGCCCAATTGCTGATGCCATTCAGTAAGCGGCTTGCTTTTTGCTGTCTCGAACTGTCGAAATTCGTCTATTCAAGATACCAACGTATGAAGATATGTCTGGTCTCGGTTACTGAGTAAACCTTAGGTCGTCTTGGTAATATCCGTTACCTTTTCTACCGTGGACCCCTGACACAGAAAGTGGATTACATTTACCCGCTTGCGCAGGTACACGGTAAGGGAAGCACAGAAATCAGATGGACACGCACCTGACACGATAGGTGGGAAAGGTGACTTGGAATGATTAGGCGTATGATCTCATGTGGATTGGGGCAACGCTTGTTCCTGCAGACGGCTCTCTATACATGCTTGTCCAAGGGCAGCATTGAACACGGTACGACGATGCAGGAACGGGAATCACAGAGAAAACATGTGCAATCTTCCTCGAGTGAAGTGACATGCGAGACAAGCTGACAAGCTGCTGTCTGTATGGTTACATAACTGTACTCCGTACTATGGTGTGCCTCGATGGTGTGATCGACCAATATGGTTGGCAATATTGGCAAGGGACCCCAGATCTACAACGATGGTCTAGGATCCAGAAATACAGCAAAAGCGATGAAAATATCAGATGCAGATGCAGATATTTCTTTATTCGACCCTCATTTGGGAAATCAAGTGTCATCAG